GGGAACTGCCCTGGGCAAAGAGTGGTCGGAATTCAAAAATTAAAACAATCTGTGAAATGTAATATTTAATAAAATTCAAATCCAAAATATATGAGTACATTCCAAAATGAGTTAAAATGTAAATTTATGAAAATGCTAAACATACTCGATGGTTCTAATATCAATTGTAAGCCTCAGTCTCTTCCTTCCACTCTGGATCCAACTCCCCCGAAGCTGCTGCCTCAGGTATGACCGGCCCCGAGGGCTCCAGGACCTTCCAGTCTTGAGTTCAGGGCACCTCCTCTAGGGAGCCCGCCCTCTGGCTCGTGGCTTCAGGTGGCAAGCATTTTGCTTTTCCTGTCCCCCACCCTGAGGGAGTTGGCCCCTAGAAATCCCCCATCTGTGTTTGTCTTTATTGAGGGGGCCGAGGTACAGACCTGGAGGAGGGAAGGGTGCTGAGAGATGGGGTGTCAGCTACAGTGCCCAGGGGGGTATGGTGGGGGCACAAGAAGACTTGGGGAGGGCCGGGGCGGGGGCATGAAGGGAAGCGAGCAAAAATGAAAAAGCAGCACCACTCCAGCCTGAACAGGGCTATTTCCTACCGTAAAAGTGACACCATTTCTGGAACACTCGAATGTTATGGTCCCATCTTGCAATCTTGGTGTGGGCATCGCTTGGCTCGCACTCTCTGGTCATCTTGCACCAGGCCATTTTCTGGGCTGCATTTTCTCACCTGGAAAAGGAGGAAGTGGGGGTCAGCACCTCCAAGGCGTGTATGAGCTCTAGCTCTAGGGACGCATGACTCCAAGAATCCGGCATTGTCGGTTTGTGGGCTTCTAGCCTTCCATGACTCTTAGCTCCCAGCCAGAGCTGTGTGGAAGCGTGGTTGTGTGATTCCGACATTCTGTGACTTGAAGTTGCTGAGACTCCAGGAGCCGAATGGGCGGGCATTCTGTGAATCCAGGATTCTAGGATTTGATGATTCAATGATTCTAAATGGGGCTGCTGGGAAGAGCTGCAACCACCTGCCTTGTTAATGTTGATGTGAGGTTATTAAAAACATAACGAGAAGCAATGGAGAGAGCTCAGGATGGAGGGTGGCCCCCACCCCCAGGGAGTGGGGGAGAGGAGGAGGGGCCGAGCCAGTGTTGGGGGAAGGAGACCCTCTTCGCCTGGGTGACACGGGCAGATTCTCCTGCCACAACGGAAGTGGTGTCTGTGCACATAGGAGAGCTCTCTCTCCCTAAGCTTGCAGGGTAAGGGCTCATTTCCTTCATCCCCCTGCCTCCATTCTTCAACTATTTCAGCTCATGGCAGAGAGAGGAGTGCCCTTTCCTCCTAGCCCCTAAAGTCTCTGGGCAGAAATGTGGACAGACAGTGGAGGAAAGAGAGGCCTGCTCACCACCTACCCCCCTTCCCCGCCAGCCCTGGCCTGAGGGGGAAAACAGGACATGAACACTTCCTGGACACGGATGTGGAAATGCACGAACCCCTGCTTGTGAGGGCCCCAAGTACAAAGGGCCTCCGACTAGGGCAGAGGCCAGGGCAGCCAGATTGGCCGGTGACCCATCGGCACCTCTGGAGCGCAGGTGCCCCACACCTGCCCTGGAGGTGGCTGTGAGAAGGGCTTGAGGAAGGGAGGTCCCAGGCCAGGGGGCCTGGAGAAGGGATGGCCAGTGGGTGCTCCCCTGTGGCATGAGGTCAGGCCATTTGCCCAGCGGCTTGCTTGGGTTATGCACATGTCTCAGCACCTACACCAGGGTTGTTGGTGGGAGGGGGGAACCTCTAGCAGGAGAGACGGATCTTTGGCCTCTAGAGAGCTCATTCCAGCTGGGTGCCTCCGAAGCCTGGCACCAACTGCATGAGTCGCAGCCTGGTGGGCTCACAGATCAGGTGAGGGAGGCCGGGAGCTGGCCCAAGTCACACAGCACAGCAGGGCCTGAAATCCAGCTTCCTGACTCCCCGTGCTGGGTACTCCCCCCTGTCTGCAGCTCCTCCCTTTCCCCTGGAACACTTGGGGAACAGGAGCTGAGGCAGGACTCCTGTTAGGGGCAGAGCTCTCCTCTGGCACTCCTCCATCTTTCTCCTCCCACAGACCAGAAGGCAGGTAAGGTGGCGACAGCTGCCCCGTACTATCCCCAAGCTTCCTTTGTCTACCACATCCTGTCTTGGCCCTGAGGATAGGGTCCCCTGTTGCCCGGCCCACAATGAGCCTCCTGGGTTCTCCTGTCCCTTCACTCAGGCTCTCTCCCCACCCTGCCAGTCTCCCCCTCTGGCCGGCTGTGAGTGTCAGTCTCTCTCCAAAGACCGTTAGACTTGGACGGGCCCCAGGAGGTCATCAAGTCCCATGCTGTGATTCTTCAGATGAGGAAAGGCGCTCAGAGAGGGGAAGGTCCTGTGCAGGGGCACAGTGGACTGTGGCTGGGCCTGTGTCTCGGAAGGACACTGCCCTCCATGTCAGGCAGCTAGGATGAGGCCTGAGGTTAGGACCAACTGACGGGCCTCTCTCTTCAGCCCTGAGCTGAATCTTTGCCCAGATTACTCTCTTGTCCGCCACTGTGCCTGCTACCTAGCTGACCCCTACCTTGGGCAGAGCCTGCCCTTGGGACACAGACCAGAGCTCAGCACTCCATGACAGGGATGAACACCCATGCACACATGGACATGGACACATGCAAGTACATACATGAGGACATACAAGTCCCAGGTGGAAACCTGGATCTCATAGTTAGGAGGCTGTCCTGGAACCTAGTGATCTTTTCTTGTGAGGCACCACACACCTCTGCTCGGAAGCCCTCCAGGACCTCTCTGCAGACTGTCTCCATCTCACTAGCCTCTTTGTGACAGCTGGGTTCTATGATCCTAGGTTCCTCCTCTGTGACAGCAAAGTCATGGGTGAGTCTCCTCCTAATCCTAAAGCCCTTCCTTCAGTGTCCCTTCCTTCTGTCTCCAGGAGGGGCTCAGCTTCCTGTGGCTGGGTGGGGAGAGCCCTAAGGTCCCCAGAGGACAGTGGGACAATGGGGAGGCGGTGACAGATGAGACATTATGTCTTCCCCAAAGCAGGCTCCACCCTCCCCTAACCTCCTGGCTGGTGTCTGGGGCACAGCCCTGGCTTGTGGGCCCCTTAGGGTCCTGGTCTGCCCCATGGCCTTGACCTCTCAGTGTAGAGGTCAGAGGATCAGAGTCACAATCGCACTCAGCAGTTCTCTACCTGGAGGGTGTGGAGCCCAGGTCCCCAGGCCAGCAGCATACTGGATGGGTGCTGCAGATCCCCAGAAGGGGTAAGCTGGACTGGCCTGCCTGTGGGGTAGGCAGGAGGGTGTAAACACTGAGGCAGGTGGGATTACAGAGGAGCTGTGAAGGCCTACCTTCCCCATGCTGGAAGCTGGTGATGGGGAGCCAGAGAGAGAGGCCAACGGTATTTGGAGAATCACAGCTAGCACTCCCTCCTGTCAGGGGAGGAGGAGGGGGCTGGCCCGGGGCAGTGCAGTGGGTGGACCATCGGAGGCCTGTGGACAAAGGGACGGGCTTGGGGTTAGGTATTTAGCTCGGCCCTCGTCATTTCCTCCGCCGGACGTGGCTGGGTTAGCAGGGTCATCGCACAGAGGGAAGGAACAGGCCGGGACCAATGCATACCAGGCCCTGCAGTAGACTCAGGCACGTGGTGACCTGGTCACCCCCTGGGCTGCAGTCGGTCCCCCATCAAAGCCCAGCCATGTGGCCACAGGCACCGTGGGGGATGGCCACAGCTAGACCACTGCCCCACACGCAGACCAGTCTTCCTGGGCAGCACTCAGGCCCGGCTGTAGGCCTGGCTGAGTAGGGAGACCCCACAGGACACGGGGACTTGTGGGACAACCAGACACCCTGCGACAGCCACACCACAAGCATCCACACACCAGGTGCAGCTACTGTCACCCCTATGGTGACCCAAGGAGAGCCATAAATTCCAGCAGTCATGGGCAGGTGTCCAGGGCCTGGGTGAGAAGAGAGGGGCACCAGGCAGGGAATGCAGAACACCCCCATGCCAGACTGTGCCCTCCCCCCAGTTCGCTGAGTGCCCAAGGCTGTTTATTTCCTAGCAGGGATGGGTGTCTCATCCCTCTCCCCCTCCCTGTCCCCACCACACGCTTCCAAAGCTGCCAAATCAAATCAGCCCCTGCGCCCGCGCCAGGCTGGCATGGCGGCCAGCAGCTGACTGGAACGAAGCCAGGCTCAGAATATCCCGCCGCCTGTGCCTGTCCGATGCCTGGGTGTGCTTGCCGGGTGGGGGTGGGGAGGGGCAGGCAGCCCCTGGGCAGTGCCTGGGAGAGGCCGTGCTTTCTGGATGCCACCTGGGGGGTAGGCTCCTGGAGAATGAGTGAGCGGCTCCTTGGTGTGTCTACCAGCGTGGGAGAGGCTGTGGCACACGGACTGGGGGTGGGGGCGCCTAGAGCCCAGAAGACTGGGTGCTAGGCTGGGGTTGGAGGCTCGCACACAGGATCATGACAGCAGCCCTAGCTGGGAGCCCAGCCCAGTGACTGTGTGAGCTAGACATCACAAACCCCATTTTACAGATGGGGAAACTGAGGCTTAGGAGGGGTCGTGAAGTTCCCTGGAGAGAAGTGGAAGTGGAGGGGGCCTCAGAAGGAGTAAAAATGTGGTTGTTTCCCCTCCTGAGGAGGCTCCAGCTGAAAGAAAGAACTCAGCTCTGTTCTCAGAGTCAAGAGCAGAGAATACACCAGAGTCAGAGGTGCCCACCTGAAGTAGGGCCTGGGTGGTGAGAAGTAGCAGGTGAGAAGGGGGTGTGGGGAGAGAGAAGGGGGTGTGGGGAGAGAGAAGGGAGTGTGGGGAGAGAGAAGGGGGTGTGGGGAGAGAGCAGGGCAAAATCAGGCACAGCTCCCTGAGGAGGCCCCCTGTGGGCAACAGGAGGCCCTGGGCCTGCTGGGGGCTGGGGGGGTGTGGGGTGGGGGTGGTGGGCAGGCTGGGGAGAAGGGGAGAAGGCCTGCAGGCCTCAGCCCCTGGCCTTCTTGTCTCTGCAGCCAGCCGGGACCTCCTTGCCCAGGAGCCAGTGCCCCCAGGGAGTAGAGACGCCAGACTGGAGGTGAGAGCTCAGTGGAGGGAGGACTGGGTGGGCTTGGAGGGGTAGGGGCACAGGCTGGGGGTCAGTCTGAGCATTGTCCCCACCCCTGGGAGGACTGGGAGGCTGGAGCTGAATCCCAGCCCCACCCCCTCCAGCCTAGGGTCACCCTGCACCAAGGTCACCTTCCCTGCCCTATTCCTGCCTGGGGCTCTCTCCCCGAGTCATTTCAGACCCCTCTCTAGGCCTCCCCACTCTCACCCAACAATTCCTTGTTAATTCTCTGCCCTCAGTGTTTTCTGAATTCCTCTCCTCTTTTCTGTCCCTGCACCTGCCCCAGTGCAAGACTTACCATCTTTCCCCTGGACGGCTCACCGGCTGGCTGCTTTCAGTCGCCCCACTCTCTCTCTAGGCGGCTGCCAGAAGGCTCTTCCTAACATGCAAACCTGAACTTGTCCCTTTTCTGCTCAAAAATCCATGCCTCCCATCCTCCTGCTTCCTCTGCAGCTCCAGCCAGGCCCCAGTCCCCCCCTTTATCCATCCTGCCTCCCCAGAATCACTCCTGCCGCTCTCTTCTTCCTCAGCTTCCCAAATCTTTCCGGGCTCAGCTCTAGCCTCCCCTCCTCCGGGAAGCCCTCCCTGTCCCTCTTGCTCCCTCCTCTGAGCTCTCCTGCCCTGGCATTCAGATGGGGCATTCTGATGTCTGTGTCGTTAGCACCCTGGTTTCTCCGTTCCGGGACTCTCGAGGTCTGCCCCTCTGAACTGAGCTCCTTAGCCTGGGCACTGTGCTTTTGTCATTCCTGAGTCTCCCACTGCCCTCCAAAGGGGGCCTGGTGGGGGCTCAGTGGGTGCATTTCCTTTGAGATGAAGGATGCCATCAGCAGCGCTGACCATGGCTTTGGGGTGCCTCATAGGATCTGGGTGCTCAGAGGGGCCGTGAGCAGTAGCAACGGGGTGGGCGGGGGGCTCTGAAGACTGGCACAGAGGAGGGCTGTGTGTAAAATCGGATCAATCAGCAGGACCAGCCTGGGTCTACTCTTGGGCCCAGGACTGGCTCAGAGAAAGGGGAGGCTCCTCTGTGCTGGGAGCTTTAGACACACTTCCTTGTTCAATCCTCACGACCTCCCTAGGAAGCAGGGACCGTTATTCTCCTTTTATGGCTGGGCAAGCTGACACACGGTGGGGTCCCACAGTGAGCGTACAGGGCAGATCTGAGTGTGGAGCCCAGATGTGGCTCATGCCCAACTGCCCTCCAGTAAGATGGGAAAGAAGGCGCCCACACGGGGCCTGGGGCACAAGGGCCTCAGCATGGACTCATGGCCGGGGACGTGGGGCCAAGCCCTGAGAATGTCCCTACAGCTGGGAGCTGGGAAGGGCAGGGGTGCCTAGAAAGTCATTATTAATTTATTTATGGCCATGGCATTCCCCACGGGGCAGGGGCTCCCCCCCAGAGCCGGGACAGATGGTGTTCCTGGGAACCAGCTGTGTCTCAGCAGCCCCTGCCACCTGCCAGGAAAGCCTGGATTTGTCATCTTCCCAGGAAGCCATGAGGGGAGAGGGCCTTGGAAAAGCCGAGACCCTCCTTGGTGCCAGGAACTAGCCCCCAAGGGAAGGAGCCAAGCTCGGGCTCCTTGTGTATAGCTCTGTGCCCCGCCCCCTTTGCCCGGCCCGTTGGCCCAGTTCCCTGCAAAGGCAGGTTCTGCCCTCTGGTCCAGCCCCCCAAGCCCCACCAGGTGGCCTGTCTGGATCATGCCCATTTGATCTCTTTGCTTCTGTTCTCTCTCCACATTTCCTTTGTCTGGGTCCTGCTGCCTCCTCCCTCAGAGGGAGGGTCTTAGGCTGTGAGCCTAAGCTCTGCTGGGAGAGAGTGCTGAGTGCTCCCCAATATAAGAAAGGACAGGACTGGAGAGAGTAGGGACCCTAGGATGTTGCTCATACTATAGGGACGGCTGGAGGGAAAGAGGGAAGAAGGATGGGGAGACTGATGAGGAGCCTCCGTGTCGGGGTGGAGTCTGGGGAGACACGATGGCCTCCTCATGACTGGGGTCAAGTGGACATGAGTTCAGGTCCCAGTTTCACCACTTTCTCAGTGTCCGACCTTGGGCCAGTCCCTTAACCAGCCCAAGCCTCAGTTTCTTCACCTGTCAAAGGGGATAAGAAGAGCCAGCATTATTTGGCCATAATCACAGCAGAGCCACTGGGACAAGTTACAAAGTATGTGTGAGGTGCCTGGCCCAGAGAAGGAGTTGGCACCCTCCCTGCTTCCCGCAAGGGTGAGCTCCCTGGAGCCAGGCCCAGGCTGACGGGGTGCAGCGCGGGGCTGGGCCGGGGCTCGCGGAGGCTCTGCGGGCGCCCATCCCCAGGGCGGACATATGTTCAGCAACCCCTCTCGGGAGGGCTCCCTGGCCCCTGGGCCAGCCGGCCAGCTAACGGGGAGGGCTCTTCAAGCTCAGCCTGGAATCCTACTTCAGGGCCAGGGCTGTTGCTCTCTGGAGGTTGGGGCGGAGGCAGTTCGGGTAGTGAACTGAGCGCGCCGGGTCCACGCCCTCTTTCTGCCGGATCTCGGGGCCTTGGGAGCCCTAGCAGGGCAGGGGCTAGGGGAGAGGTGGACACGGGCGATGGCAGGGGTATCCACACTAAGCATACTGATGCCCTGCCCAGCCCTGGTTCCTCGGGTGCTGCGACGGGATAAGGAGAGACCACACGCCTTGGTGTTGCCAGCCCTGCCTGCTGGGCCCCCTCAGGCCCACCCGTTGCTCCCAGACATGGCAGTGCTTACTCCCCAGGATACCCGCTCTTCCTGGCCTCCCCACCTTTGCTTTGCCCTGACCCCTTTCTCTGGAATGCCTTTCCTTTCTTTCTCTACCTACTCCCTTCTTAAGCCTCAGATTAGATGTCACCTCCTCTGTGGAGTCCTCTCAGATTGCACCCTCCATGCAGGTCAAGTCAGTCTCCCCTCTTTCCTGGGCACTCATAGCCCCCAAGCTTCCCTGAGCTTGCAATTGGGTAACTTGTTAGCCCATGTGGTTATATATCCTTTCCCACATAGTTACAAACGCATGGGGGATAGGAACCTAGGCTGAGTCTCCTTTGTCTCTCCTGGGCCCACATGAGACCTGGCCTAGGCCTGGTACATAGTAGGTGCTCAGTAAAGCTTCTTGATTAAATGTGAATGGCTGTGTGAAAGTTGGAGTAGTTCCAAGAAAGGGGCACTTGCTGGATTGGGGGCAGTCTTGGAGACTTCTTGGAGGAGGTGGCCTTGGAAATTTGAAGGATGAGAAAGGTCAAGGACATGGACTGATGAGGCCAGAAATCAGCTGGATAGTCAGAGAAGTCCATGTGGTCACCTTCTGTGAGTACCATGTGAGGACAAGGACCAGCCCAGGGCTGGGAACAAGCAGGTAGAGGCGCTTGGAACAAAGATTTAGCCCCAGCGGGGGCTGCAGAAGGCTGGCTTGGTGCTGAGAAGCCAGCTCCAAACACATCTCTGCCCCTGGGTCCACTTGGCCCCACAGTCTGGGGTGAGGCTGAGGCCACCAATGGTGAATAAATGGGCCCAGCATGGTGGCATAGTGATGGGGGGGACAGGGATAGGCAGGAGCTAGGGTGGTCCTGTGAGGTAAGAGTGCCAGGGGGGCTGAGAAAGGCTTTGCAAGTGAAAAGAGCAGGGTGTGCAAGGGCATGTGGGCAGGATGCCCTGGGTCCCCATGAGGGAAGGCCCAGCATGTCCGTGGGGCCCAGGAAACGGACAGGGAGCACTGGGATGAGGCTGGAAGGGCTGCTTCCCAGCAGGCTGCACTTCCCAGCCTGTGTTTAAAATTCTTGAGTGAGTGCTCCTACCTGGCAGGTGTGCCAGCCCCCTCCTGGGTTCTGCACATCAGGATCAAGTTGCCTCAGTGATGGCCCATGGCCCCAGGGGAGCTGCTGCCTGCAAGTTGGCCATGGCATCTGGCATCGCTGGGGGTCCGGAGGACCTGCCATCTGGCTGTGCTCACCTGTTGGGCTGCACAGGCTCGGGGGTGTGCGGGGACTTGGGGCCAAGGAGGTGGCCTCAGCAGCCACCCAGTCTGTTTCTCTGTCTGTCCATCCATCTGTCCTCACCCCTGACCAGACGAGGACCAGATGGAGATGGGCAGACACAGGCCCTGCAATCAGAGAAGCCTAGTCTGAAGGAGGAGGCATCAAGTACCAGGGACTCCCACCCAGAAAAGACCCAAGCTCAGACGGGGCCAGACATTGGGCAGGCCAAGTCCGGGGGGAGACCCGGCCCCCTTGAGGGCTGGGAATGGAGGCTCAGAGAGAGGCAGAGACTGGCTCAGAGGCGCACAGCACGGTGGGGTCGGAGGCAGTGTTGGGGTAGATGCCGTGAGCCCCAGGACAGGCTTCCTCAGGCAGGCCCCTCCCCCACCGCCCGGCCTGGTCCTTGGCTGTAAACACTGAGAGAACAAGTTCCGTTTCCTGGGAAATATTTATCTCAAGCCGTGTGGGGAGCGTGTGCTGGCCTCCCTGTGTCCTTCCTGCAGGCTGGCCTGGGGCACGAGGGGAGGGGGCTTGGCAGCGGCCTGTGGGGGGCAGTCTGTGCGGCCTGAAGTCAGGACCAGGAAGCGAGTGCCCCAGGCTCCTCCTGGAGCCAGAATCTGAAGGCTGGAATGGGGGGAGGGGGGAGGGTAGGAGAGAAACCTGTTTTTCTCCAAATCCTGCAACACCACCTGCCCATCTCCCATGTTCCTGTCTTTAGCCCTAGCTGTGCTCTTTCCTCTGGTTCCTACCTCTAAGCATTTGCTCCTGTCTGGTGCTCCCACAGAATGCCTTTCCTTCTTCGTCCTCGTATTTGCCAGCTCTCAGCTGGCTTCCCCTGGGAAGGCTTCCCTGATTCTCTAACCCCCTAACCCTTTGTCCTTCCCTTCTACCTTCTGTCTTTCCCTTCTGGCTCCCAGCAGCTTCAGACTGAGCCCCATAGACCAGTTAAGGTCTTATCCCAAGTTGTTGGGACAGGGTAGACGGCCTCTTTCAGACTGCCCAAG